ATCAGATATATATCTGATTTAAAACCACAGACTGAAACGACCTGGGTCGGATTTGCCTGCAGTGTGAACGTAGCCAAAGACTACTGTACGTTCACACTGCAAAAAAAAATAGTTCTCTGTATTTATTCAACAGCTTCTTGATAAAATGTCAGGCATTTTAAACACCTTTTTTTTCTATGCCCTTTAAATGCTGCTCCAACAACCTTCATAAAACAAAACCTCAGATAGACAAATCTAAAAAAAATCACTTTTTTTCTCTTTTCTTCCAGAAAGTTTGAAATACTTTGTATATATATTTTAAATGGCATGTAAACCTGGCATGTAAGCCAGCCTTCAAGTTAGTGTTTTATTACATTTTTTTAATCTCTGCATCTTATTTTAAAGGTAAAACAAACAAAACTAAAAAAAACCACTCTCTCTTGCTTCAGGGAATTGAACAAACCTCCATTCTACAGTATACTGTATATATACTGACTCAAAATCATTTGTAACAGAAAACAAACAAATGAAACACTAGTTCAGCAAATTCCATTTTTTCCCAACCCCCATCTTTCACCGCATGAAAAACAGTTTCATTAATTAAAAGTATCCTAAACTCTTTGTCTTCAGTAAAATATTTTTTCCACTTCACCCTGAGAGTTAGTTAGAAACACATCCGTTTTCATGCATGTTAGGGGTCTGTGCAAAAGAAAAGAAAACAGGTAATATGTCGCCCGCGCACACACGCCCTCCTTTCAAGACATGGTTTACGGCAGCGGGGGGTGGGGGGGGTGGGGGTGACCGGGCCACCCCACCCCCACCCGGCCACACCTACAGGAGGTGACGCTGCGTGGTTGAAAACAGGAAAGTCCCAAATATGCTCCATTAAATATTCCCGAAAATCAAAGAGACTAAACCCATGTTATTAAAAATGTTTCACATTCAAACAAACAAACTTTTATCACTCTTCTTGATTTAAGCTTTGAATCACGTTCCACTAAGCGATCCCAGAAGGTGGCCGAAACAGCCACCGTCCGGGAAAACCAACTTATAAAGACCCCCATTCCCGCAGACACTTTTTTCACGGCTGTCAGCGCCATATTTGTTTATCATGGCCTGTGCTCAAAAGGAAAGCCCTCTGGTCGCATTCTTTGGCTGAAAACTCGGGCCCAGCGCCCAACCTAACGACATTCTGTAACGAGATGTCGGGACCGCGGTCACTTGGAATGACTTCTGGCCTACAAATGTCTCCTCAAATAGAAACAAGATGGAAAAACAACATTTCCCCTCAGCAGTTTAAGCATTTTTTAACCTGCCTACGCTCACCATAGACAACACAACTGTCCTCTTGGCTACAGTTGTGGTCAAAAGTTTACATACACTTGTAAAGAAACATAATGTTATGGCTGTCTTGAGTTTTCAATAAGTTCTACAACTCTTATTTTTCTGTGATAGAGTGATCGGAACACATACATGTTTGTCACAAAAAAC